CAGGAAGTGAGAAAGATGAAACGGGTCGTTTTCATTTTTTGTCTCTCTTTGTGAGGTCCCTGTAGCGCCCTGCCAGCCAGGCAGGGCGGATTTCACGCGAGGCAGCTAACTGCCTCGCTTTCTTTCTGGTCCAGACAAGTACTGTGGCATCCTGTATCGCACCGCAATCACAGCATAAGGGATGCTTTTTTTTACCTGCTGGTCGTGGATAGACTGAACTGCCTACGGCCGAGTTTCAACTGCAATTGAAACTCGGCCCCTGACTAAAGTGCCAAATCGGTGTTTGGAATGCAATTACAAACCATTTTCGTGACTGCGCCGAAGTTACCCCAAAAAAAAAATTGCTCCCTCTTTTTCGCTGCAGAGATGCCCTCTCGGCCTACACAAAAATTGTAGCAACTACGCTTGCACCATTCGCGGAGGTGCTGCCACGACACATATATGGCAAAATATTTCGGCGGCTGCGACGAAGTCGCAAAGTGGTGGGATCCGCAAACTACCGTGTAACTGGGCGGTAGTGTAGTAGTGGGATCAGGCCCTTATTGCGCTTCCCAGGGAACTTGTGTTTCTCTCCTCCCCCCCCCTCCCCCCCCCCCCCCAGCTAAGCTAGACTTTGAGAAATAATAAACAATGTAGCTTGAGGTTTACTCTCACAGTGCAACCACATTGTATCTCAGTGCGGGCATAACCCGCACAGTGTCACAGACCTCCTCATACTGCTCAGTCTTTCACTACCTACCTACCTACCTACCCACCACTACTCCTAAGGTGTATAAAGGAGACCCCTGCACGCATAGCTACCTCTCACAATCAAGGGGATATCATGATCATAGCATGTTGACCTCTGCCGATACTTTTTTTTTTTTTTTTTTTTTTTAATCCTGGGTCTCCTGATGGTTTCTCCTAACCTTATTTCTCTTGTTCGGGGGGTTGAATAGGTACATGGAAAACACACATGCAGTCAATGAAATGCTCATCGTAGAGACAGTTCAAAGTACGTAGATAGTCTCATCTCAACAACCAAAATATAGGAAGTATCTCAGCAAAGTGTGAGAGAAYGGCGTCCCCGACGCACGTTTCGGCAGCTGCCAAGCTGCCTCCTCAGGGGGTTTCCCACCAGACATCAACCCGATACTCATCGTCCACCGCTCACCCTCTTCCGTTCCTACCGCTAGGCGACATAGCCGCGTAGCTATAGTTCCGTCAGTCCCTACACAGAGGTCGACTATCCATACGACAAATCCTTTATACTGTGGAAACAACACGCACTACCCTCGTTACGGACCGCAATGGGTCATCTACCGTAAAACCCGGTTCCAACAGACCAACAAAATGGTATGCTCGTAACACCCAAGTCAGAACCCAGTACCCCCGACACAATACATGGTCCAGGCCCAAAAAACCAAGGCTACCCAGCTTCTGTCCCCTACAGAAAAAAACGTGTGAACCAACAACACAACCCTGTTCAAACCATCATCGACCCAGTTCCTACTCAAAATACATGTGAACCAAAACACAACCCTGTTCGAACCATCAACGACCCAGTTCCTACCAGCATCTGTCCTCTACAGACAAAAAACGTGTGAACCAAAAAAACACAAACCTGTTCGAACCATCAACGACCCAGTTCCTACTCAAAAAACACACCCCTGTCCAAAAGTCCGTAACATAGTACGAAAACCCAAGTCACGGGTTCAGGGCCGAAGAAACAGAAGTTTCAAAATCAGAAAATCCACCCTGTCCGAACGTCCGTAGCAGAGTACGCAAACCAAGTCACGGGTTCCGGGCCACAACCACAGAAGTTCTCCAGCATTCATCCCAAGAAAAATCCTAATGCTGAGCGCACTTCACGAATTCAAAAGGAAAAGGAGAAGAAAATGAAAATCCTTGTGTATACTCTCAAACCCTGTTCGAAGATATCATACACAATCACAAAACTACTCCTAAAGCATACGACATGTGTTCCAACATAGTAACAAACATACTCCACAACAACACAACAAAGCAACCAAATGCTCACATACTACATGCTGACAAAAAACACATAAAATCATCAATAAGAAATCCTATATTACACCTAATCACATACTACATGCTGACAAAAAACACATAAAATCATCAATAAGTGCTTCCTACGTCCTACGGGAACAAGAGTTTTGCAGTCTATTTCCAGACTGGGTCCTTCCCCACAGCAAATGCCTTCAGAATTCGCTCGAAAACCTCAGAAGGGAATCCTTTAATCCTCAACTCCCTCTTCACCGTCAGCACTCTCAGAGGGATTTTGGAACGGATCGTGGTATTCTRGTCGATCCGATGGARATAACTSCCCACAATCGCAGYCTTTTGCTGCTTACTTCCCCACGATGCGTATGATTGCCCGTTCTTGAAAGTCAACTTTTCGTTACCCCAAATTGTCTCTTCATTCTTTACCAACCGCACCACACCCAAGTGTGGAGGAGANGCGTATGATTGCCCGTTCTTGAAAGTCAACTTTTCGTTACCCCAAATTGTCTCTTCATTCTTTACCAACCGCACCACACCCAAGTGTGGAGGAGAGTCCTTTGTCCGAATCTCACATCCGAGGAAAGGTAATATACCCGATCCAGTATCCGTTCGTTTAAGAACCAGATTTGGCGGATAACATTCCTCAAAGGCATCGAGCACATATTTACATTGTTGTTCGGACAACGCAACAGTCATAAGTGTGACGTCGTCAATAAGCCTGATCCCAAAGACTCTCTTACGAAAGTTGCCGAGGCTATTAAGGAACTTACATTCAGCGTAAGCACACAGGACACACGCCAAGGGTGGGCTCGTGCTCTTGCCCATCGGAATCCCAATGACTTGTCTAAGAAGCACGCCCGTAGCATATGTATACGTGTGCTTCAACTCCAACCGTACGAAATTTAGAATGTCATCCAAATTCAGCAATCTCCAGTGGTCGGCGCCCGTAGTCATTCCGAATGAAGCGCCTCGGCCCCTGGTGTTTACGCGCACTAATGTTTTGCCTTTTCCCCGGTAATGGTCAACGATCTAAGCCACAACATCAAGGATCTCATCATGCGGTAGACGGCTGAACATCTCCTTGATGTCATAAGATGCCGCCTCTACCTTCCCGTGTTTTCCTCGCTCAACTTTCGTGTTAATGCGCTGTAAACGAGACGCAAGGTGCGAGACAGCCTGCAGGTTGAAATGACTATCTACCGGCAGCTGAAACAGTAGGTGGTTCAGTCCCTTAGTCACCCCCCGACCGGTCCTCACCATCGGCTCCTTGAAGGTGGGGCAAATCGGTCGGAAACGACTCGGATCCTTATGCTTCGGCAATACATACGATACTCCAAAACTCTCTTTCCAATCCCACCTTACAAATTTGCTCAACCCTTCTTCACGTACTTCAGATCTCACTCTCGCAAGTACCACACCCTCCTCATCTTGGACAACCCGGTAACCAGGACTCGACACAAACGCTTCCATCATTGCCTTATGGTACATCCCTGGGCACATAACCAATGTTTTCCGCATGTTTCGATCCATGGGTGTGAGAACAAACCCCTCGCACTCCTTCACTTTGACAACGTCATCAAGGGAGATCAAACCAAAGTTCTCATCTGTAGTACCAAAACAGCGACGAAAAACGAAGGCATCAAACCCAGGCACAAGTCCCTTCAAATTAAACCAGTTCGCGAACCCAGTTACAACTTCCTGTTGCAAAAGCAACCTACGGTTCTGAATATCAGGTCTAGGAATGTCATTTGCGTTCGACAATCGTTGGTGTAGAGAACCGCCATCACATAGCCGGAAACAGATATGCCCATCCACTTTCGGGTGGGATGACCCTGCACATACGCAGGTAGAACACTCACGAGCAGCAAACACTCGCTGGTTATAAAGAGTATATTCGATCGATGGGTTCTTGACCCAAACGATCCGTACTTTCTTCAAAGCCCGTTTCCGAATGCAATCAGGCAGATCACACTTCATGATGCCGTCATTGACAATCTTCCTGAGGTCAACTAATCTAATTCGATCATCAAATTTCACGCGAATTACGAGATCGGCGGACATACTAAATCCAAACATGTCACGGATCACTCGAGATACTAAGCGCCTAAGATACTTTCTTGTAGATTTCTTGCTGAAATCCTTGATAACATTGTACAACTTCATCAGCAACTTAAGTCCCCAGACGTAAAAATCCGAGATACTCCTCGGGTTCCTCAGAATACCAACCAAAGTAGCCTTTAGATACCTAGCCTTCGGCTTCCACATTCGTAGGTAAGCAATCTCAAACGTCCCTTCTTCCTCAAAGCACTTCCTACAAGATCTGAGCAGCCGTGTGTTCTTCCCTTCCCTAATCGTGGACTCCCCAAACTTCTTCCGGAGCTTCTTCTAACCACCAATCCACGTATTACCCCCATCGGTCTTGATGGTCAACTTCCGTTGACTGCTCACAGCTTTGGCTGTGAGTGCCTCGACCAGATTCAGTACCGGTTCCCCTTCATCCCCAAAGCGAAAGGTAACAGGACGAATAGCTTGGTCGTTCCCTCCCTTCGCCTTTCGTCCTCCCCGCTCGGTGTTTCTCCCTCCCCTTGCTACTCTTAATTACACTGACACTATTCAGGAAAGGTGCACTGCCTGATGTAAGTATCTTCTACGATCAGAAGTTCCTTCTCGCTTGTCCTGTCCACGGGTAATAATACGTAACTACCAGCCCCGAAAGTACATAACCATCGCTGGAAATGGGATCGTTTCTTACTACTGCACCGTGATAGGTGCTCACACCAGCGGGTATCCACGTTACGCGTAGTCTTACCCACATACTGATGCTTACAGTAGGGAGATACCGCAACATATACGACATTCTTAAGCAAGAAAAAATCATGTCCAAAAGTCTCAAAAAGTCGTCGCCAGGAACCCACCAACTTACCATTCCACTTAATCTCCCTCCGGCAGCTCAGTACCAGGATGCACAGCCTCAGCACTTCCTCAGCATCGCGGTCGATATGTTCTAGCTTACCTCGGTAGTCCGTCACAAACTCAATAATCCGCCATATCTCGTCTGATCCGTAATTCCATCAAGCATCCTGATCCTCGTCTTCATCCCCGATACTCAACGATTCCTCGTCCAATAGCTCGGTAGCCCTCGACACATCAATCGGATTGACTTCGCCAAAGTCCACACGCGTACGGTGACTCGCAATATCGAAAATTGCATCGATTTTGTCGTTATAGGCAACATGCTCGTCCTTACAGATCCCTTGTAGTTCCAACGCATCCAGTGAGCGCAGATCTTCCATCTCCTGGTTACGGTATCGTAGCTTCTGGACAGAGCTCGGCTGTTCCAGAATCTTCTCGAACTTCTCAACATATGGTGAGAGTTTTGTCTTCAACTTCGCCTTAGAACGGGTAACACGTCCCGGAGTAATGGCAAGCTTCTTCTTCGACTCAGTTCGCCGCGGAGTCCGCTTGGCAGGGGTCGTCATAGGTGGGCTATCTTCAAACCCCACCTTAGGTCCCCTCTTCCTCTTCTCGTGGATCGTCAGGCTCTTCGTACGAGCACGGATGTCGTTAGTAGCGCTGTCATCAGTTTCGTAATCCGAGTCAGCAGGTACATGCACATGTTTCGTAATCGTCAGGCTCTTCAAACCCCACGTTCTGCCTCCAATCTTTCAGCTTCTGCTTCAGCTTCCAAACGCAACCGTTCTTCCTCCGCCTTCCTCGCCTTCTCCGCCAACACATATTCTGACACCGAGGCCAGGCTTTTGTTCAGTTCTTCAATTTGACGACGAAGCACTTCCGGTTCCCGCTCCGTCGCCTTGCTCTTCGCTTCGCCTTCGTCTCTCCTTGGTGACGTTGATCGGCCCCTACTAACGTCGTAAGACGTGGACGCGTTAGCCTCCTGAGCTCACCAGCGGTTCGGGCACTGATTAGCATAGTGGCCACGTTCGTTGCAGCTGAAACACCGGGGTGGTGAGCGACGATATTGTCGGTCCCCCCCTCCTCGGTCGTCTCTCCGGTCATATCCGTGGCGGCTACCACGGTCTTCACTACTCGACCTTCTTCCTCGGTCATAGTCTCGTTGGTCCCCCATCATAACTAATCACACCGTCTTCTTCGATCGCCAAACATCAACCAACATACGCAAGCCAAAGTAGTAGTGCTTACAATCAAAAGACAGTGTAATAGGTCAGACAACACGCTCACTCGTCTCAGTAATTTTTCTCCAAGAAAGTTCACGNCCGAAGTTACCCCAAAAAAAAAATTGCTCCCTCTTTTTCGCTGCAGAGATGCCCTCTCGGCCTACACAAAAATTGTAGCAACTACGCTTGCACCATTCGCGGAGGTGCTGCCACGACACATATATGGCAAAATATTTCGGCGGCTGCGACGAAGTCGCAAAGTGGTGGGATCCGCAAACTACCGTGTAACTGGGCGGTAGTGTAGTAGTGGGATCAGGCCCTTATTGCGCTTCCCAGGGAACTTGTGTTTCTCTCCTCCCCCCCCCTCCCCCCCCCCCCCCAGCTAAGCTAGACTTTGAGAAATAATAAACAATGTAGCTTGAGGTTTACTCTCACAGTGCAACCACATTGTATCTCAGTGCGGGCATAACCCGCACAGTGTCACAGACCTCCTCATACTGCTCAGTCTTTCACTACCTACCTACCTACCTACCCACCACTACTCCTAAGGTGTATAAAGGAGACCCCTGCACGCATAGCTACCTCTCACAATCAAGGGGATATCATGATCATAGCATGTTGACCTCTGCCGATACTTTTTTTTTTTTTTTTTTTTTTTAATCCTGGGTCTCCTGATGGTTTCTCCTAACCTTATTTCTCTTGTTCGGGGGGTTGAATAGGTACATGGAAAACACACATGCAGTCAATGAAATGCTCATCGTAGAGACAGTTCAAAGTACGTAGATAGTCTCATCTCAACAACCAAAATATAGGAAGTATCTCAGCAAAGTGTGAGAGAACGGCGTCCCCGACGCACGTTTCGGCAGCTGCCAAGCTGCCTCCTCAGGGGGTTTCCCACCAGACATCAACCCGATACTCATCGTCCACCGCTCACCCTCTTCCGTTCCTACCGCTAGGCGACATAGCCGCGTAGCTGTAGTTCCGTCAGTCCCTACACAGAGGTCGACTATCCATACGACAAATCCTTTATACTGTGGAAACAACACGCACTACCCTCGTTACGAACCGCAATGGGTCATCTACCGTAAAACCTGGTTCCAACAGACCAACAAAATGGTATGCTCGTAACACCCAAGTCAGAACCCAGTACCCCCGACACAATACGTGGTCCAGGCCCAAAAAATCAAGGTTACCCAGCTTCTGTCCCCTACAGAAAAAAACGTGTGAACCAACAACACAACCCTGTTCGAACCACTACTGGGGGCTTAGACCTTGTTTCGAGTACGCACCGGTTTCTGCCATCCGATCTGAAGATTTCACGGCCACACTGTGGCCACATTGGAAAATATTCGAAAGGAAGACTAAAAGCCCGCTAGTAGTAGAAGCTCCCTCTTTTTCCGAAAAAAAACAAACAGGGATAACTTGCAAAATACCCCCATGAGTTGAGATATTTGCCAAAATGCCCCTGAAAGATGTGGGTAGAGCAAAATGCCCCTCTGACAAAAAAAACGATTTTGTGAAATATCCCTGGTATAGGTTAGACCCCTCATCTTTGCAATAAACCTCTACCTGGTACCGTCCAACGTTGCAAAATGCCCTGGTAATCGTCAACTTTTCCAATGCCCAATTACAATTGCCAAGGCCCAGACAGCAAGGTCCAGATTGCAAATTTGCAAACCTGCCTGACAGGAGCATAACACAAAGATTTTGCCCCGAAAGTGCATTCCCCTCTACCCATATCTTTCAGTGGCATTTTAGCATATATCTCAACTTATGGGGGTATTTTGCAAATTATCCCCCCCCCCCAAAAAAAAAGCCCGCGAGGAAAAAAAGAAGCAAATTTAAACAGGTTGAACTCTTGACCTATTTATCACCAGTACTATGTGTGTTAGTACCATTCAGCCACCAAAGCAGGTATTAGGGCCTGGCTCAACGACTCACCAAATGTGCAAAAATGAGAATGAATCTTCCAGAAGAACATGGAAAGATACACCGCTATATTTTTGGTCTTTTGTGCATGTGGTGGGTAGTGGAGAGAGTCCCTTATTATGAGAATGCCAGAATGCCAGAATGCCAGTCCAATGCATTTCAATATGTTATGGGTCGATATGTTTCTAGGTCTTTCGGCTAAGTAAGGGCCTACTCACACTAGGGCCTTCTATGGAAAAATAGCTGAAATTTGATTGAAGGTTGGGCTGGTCGCACAAGGCAGAAAAAGTGGAAAAGCAGCACCCCTAGCAGCCGCTCAGGCTGTTTCTTTAAAAAAAAAAAAAAAAAAAAAAAAAAAAAAGAGGAAAAG